TACGACTACGACTACGACTACGACTACGACTGCGACTACTACTACAACTACTACTACTACTACTACTACTTCTACTACTACTACTACTACTACTACTACTACTACTACTACTACTACTACTACTACTAATACTACTACTACTAATACTACTACTACCACCACGAGTTTCGCGTACCTGGTGGCGAGGGGCGGCCCCGAGGAACTCGGCTTCTTCGTCGGGGGGCCCGAGACCTCCGCCCAGCGCAGGGCCAGCGCGAGCGCGGTCGTCGTCGACGCAGCCGCGCTCTGGCTCACGCTCCGGGGCGAGGAGCAGGTGCACCTCCGCGAGAGCGGGGTCTCGGCACGAGCGAAATTGGTACGGGAAGAAATGGTGCAATGCCCAACAGTGAACAGGATTCGCTGTCGGCGTCGCCGCGGCCTGCGTCCATTCGAGACAGAGGGCCGCCTGCCCAACGGCGGCCGCTGTTGGTTCGGGGCAACATGTGTTGGGGCATTGTGCCCATTCTTTCCGCGCCCATTTCGGACGCCCAAAAGGTCTTCGCCGCAGGCGCCAAGCAACGCATCGAGAACCCCCGCAAGAAGTTCCGCGAGACGAGGAACGAGCGCGACAAGGCAGCCTTCGAGACGGAGAAGGCCAAGTACATGGCAGAGCACCCAGACCACATGGCGCAAGTGGAGCAGGCCTACTCGAGCGCAGGGGGCAAGTACAGGATCGCCCCCATCAACATCTTCGCGGTCGAGAACTGGTTCGACCCGAGCAGGGGGCAGAAATCCGCCAAGATGCGCAGCGCGGCCCTTGTCCCCATGCGCAAGGCGCTGCCGAGTCAGCGGCATGAACCTCGAGAAGGGCACCCGGCGGCGCGACGTCACCTACGTGCGGGGCGATGGCGAGACGGGGCGGTTCCGAGCAGGCGAGCCCCTAGGAGCGCTGCCCAAGGGCTGGCGCAACGCCTTGCCCGAGGTCTCCGAGGCGGACCGCGCGAGGGCCTTCGAGGCCATCGGCGCGCGGGGGCAGCCGAGAGCCTGGGCGGGCGAGCTGGCGGCAAGCTGGGCCATCGGCTTCATCGAGCAGGAGCGCGGCCAGAGCCTCGCGTTCGCAGACTGCCTCTCGAGCCAGTGGACCGAGGCAGTGACGCTGCGAGCGTGGCTCAATAATGTCATATACGCCTCCATGGGCCCCCCGCGCCACGAGCTTCTTGCAGGGGCCCGGCGCCCGCGAGCACGGCCAGCTCAAGGCCGAGACGCACTGGGCCATGGGGCAAGACTGGATCCAGATGGCCAAGGCCGAGCCCCAGAAAGAGTACAAATACCCGACGCAATGGGGGCCCTACGAGTGCCTCTACTGCGTCTCCGAGGCCTGCGCCCGCTTCCGCCAGCTGAACAAGGGCGCGGCGCCGCTCCAAGGGCTGCGGGCCAACCAAATGCTCGCGGCCCGGCCGGCCGAGCAAGGCGAGTTCGAGGTCGTCGCGGGCATGGGGCCGTGGAGCTACTCCATCGAGCCCTGCCGCGGCATCGAGAACAGCCTGGCGAAAGAGCGCCTCGAGGGCATCCAGGGCTGGCCCGAGGGCGCGCCGCCCGCGCCCAAGTGGAGCGTCCTCGACGGCAGCTACTTCCACAGCGACGACTTGCAGAGGGACTGCGAGCACGGCGAGAACCCCTGCCTCCTGGGGCTCCGAGACCTGGACCTCGAGCTCACAGGCGATCAGGAGGACGTGCTCAAATCGCCAGAGGAGCGGATCAAGGAGATCAATTTCCCGCGCGCCCTCGAGAACATGATCAAGCTGAGACGGACAAGTTGGCGCAAGAACAGGTGGGCGCCCAAGTTCGCAGGCCAGTTCTTGGGCAAGCCCGCTCGATGGCGGCAGCGCGAGAAGGCCAAGACTGGCGGCGAGACCTCGCTCGAGCACCTCAGCAGAGGCGTGGCCGAGGCGAATCTCATAGGCGGGCCGCCGATCGCCGAAGGCGCGCGCGAGCTTCTCCAAGAAGCTCGCGCAGAAGATGCAAGCGGAGAGGCGCGCCAAGAAGCAGGACAGGGCCACGCAGGAAAACGGCCTCGAGGCTTGCGAGGAGCCCCCCTGGCACGGCAAGGTGGCGCGCGCCACCGAGGAGGGCGCCCACGAGGGCGGGCTCGGCAGAGCGCGGGACGTCTGGCAAGTCCCAGGCACCGAGGACGAGTGCCGCCTGCGCGTCCTCGAGGTGGAGGCCGCGGCGATCTTCCAGATCGAGAGCAGCGAGGCTGGGGGGGTCACAGGCACTCGTTAGCTTCCGCCTGCATCTTCCCGGGGCGGCGGAAGCAAGCGGAAGTTGGCGGGGAGAAGAAGAGGCGAAAGCGGAAGCAGGCGGAAGCAACGCGAAGCGGGAGCAGGCGGAAGCTAACGAGCGCCTACGAATCCCGAGCGCCACAGGTCACGATCGAGCAGGACTGCAAGTTCCCGGGCCGCAGAAGCTCGACTGGCGCCAGACGAGACAGATTCGGCGCACCGCGCTCGCAAAGGAGTGCGCGATCATGAACCGCGAGCAGGTCGTCAAGGGCGGCGCCCTCGAGCTGGGCGCAGCGCGCGCGTTGCCGGGCGAGATCGAGGAGCGCGCGGGCGCCCCCGACGCCGTTCTGGTGGTCGAGCCCACGGTGGCCGAGAGGGCCAGGGCGAGGACGCGCCCGCCGCCCAGCAACCCGAGGAGCAGAAGCGCTGGGCCGAAAGGGTCGGCGAGGCCCAGCACGGGCTGGTTTGCGCGCGCTCCGAGGCGCCCGCGCACTACGCGCGCCTCAAGGTCGCCGGTTGCTGCAATGGCTCCTCCCCCAGTGTGCCTCCGGCGTTTCGCTCCGGTTTGAAGCGAGTCCTGGAGGCGCCCTGGGCAGGGGGCACTTGCAGCAGTTCCCGCCAGGTCTCGAGGATAGACGGGGGCGGCGTCGCGGTGGAGCACCGCGACGCCCTCGAGCCGCCGTCCGAGAACGCCAAGCAGGCCCAGAAGGGCCACGTGCGAATGCACGCCTGCACCCCGCGATTTCTGAGGTGGGAAGGTAGGGGTCATTTTGCTCGGGAACTGCCGAGCGAAGTGCACCCCGCCCTCCCTTCAGAAATCGCGGGTAGGGTTTGCGCGTGGCCTCCGAAGGCCGCCGCGCGGATCCCCCGCAAGCTCGGCGCCATTGGCCCTGGCGAGAATTGCCCAGCACCGAGCGACGAACGGCGCCGAGCAGACGGTTGGAGCGGCGGCCCGTGGACGAGTCGTTGGATCGAGCGCGCCCTGCGCGAGATCCGAGGCGATGGCCGCCAAATGCCGGCGAGCCCCAACACCATGGTCGCTCGAGGCAGCGAGTTTATCACTCAACTTAAGGAGGCCGGCGACAAAGACTTTGCGATGGCCAAGGCCAAGGCCAAGGCCTAGCACAAGTCCAACCCCTGCAATGACCCCGCGGCGGCCGAGCCGAAGTACGCCACCTTCGATGAGGCAAGCGCCGCCGCCCAGCTTTGCACCAAGTGTCTCCCATGCAAGGACGGCTCTAAAGGATGCCGTGCTTGCATGGGGGAGTGGTTCGAAGTCCAGTGCAAGAGTGGTTTCTTGGCCAGACCGGCCAATGACCTCTCTTGCGCTGGCAGAATGCAGGCGCCTGCTTAGCCACGAGCCTCGAGATCTCTCGAGTCAGCCTTGTGCCGTGCGCCTGCTGGCAAGTAGCCGCGAGCCTCGAGATCTCTGGACTCAGCCTTGTGTCGCGCGCCTGGTTCGTCGCGAGCCTCGAGATCTCTCGCGTGAGCCTTGTGCCGAGCGCCAAGGATCGCCATCGGCATCATCATCATCGTCGTCGCCGTCATCATCATCATCACCATCACCATCATCATCATCATCATAACTTACCTTCCCCGGGATCATATTTTATTATCCCCGCCAAAACACCGAAGTTTATTATCCCCCGGGGGATTATTATCGCCCGCGCAGGGTGATTCTGCGAACGGCATTCGCAAGGCTCGCAACCCCCCAGGGATGGCGAGGTCGGGCTCGGATCTGCGCGGTGCCGAACTCCGCTGGGCCCGCCAGCAGCTTTCGAATGTAGCGACAGTTCCGCAGATCGCAGCCCCCCAAGGACGGCGAGGTCCCACTCAGATCTGCACCGTGCCTCACTCCGCTGGACCCACCAGCAGCCCGCGAAAGTAACAACATCTTCCCATATCGCAGGCCTCCCAAGGACGGCGAGGTCTTGCTCAGATCCGCGCGGTGCCTCGTTCCGCCGGGCCCACCAGCAGCCCTCGAAAGTGGCGACGGTTTCGCAGATCGCAGCCCCCTTCCCCAGGGACGGCGACGTTTCGCGGGAGACAGGAGGCGGGAGGCAGGAGGCGGGAAGAGGAGGAGGAGGAGGAGGAGGAGGAGGAAGACGCGACCGTGGTGCTGCACTCAAAACGAATACCCAACCAAGGAGGGTTGGCAATAAAGAAACACGCGTTAATGTCCGGGTGTGGTCCCTTGACTCGCGCGGCCCTCCCGTCAGTCGCGCGTTGCTAGAAGTGCCCCTGGCCCAAGGCGCCCCCAGGATTTCCAAGGAGGCCCCCGCGGCCTCCAGAGCACCCCCCCACGAAGCACGGAGAGCCCCAGGGGGTCCCACATGGAGCGAGAAGCTGGGGGCACCTTGGGCCAGGGGCACCGCCCCAGAGATCCAACGCATGGCCAAACATCAAAACGGAGGTTTTCCACAAGTTTCGGCCTCCAGGGGCCCTCGCGGGGCCTCGGGACCGTCAAGAAACGATTCAGGATGAAAAGACCGTCCTGGGGAATGGTCGGCGTCACCCCAACATACTTATACTATATATGCATCGCCCCCCAGAGGCGTCGCGCGCACCGAGAAATCTTATAGTATAAGCGTCGTGGCGGGCGCTCTCTGGCCACACCGCTCGGGCAACGATATACTACAAGATGTGTATAGTATATATTCGTGTCGGACGCGCGCCTCCAAAGAGGACATATAGTATTAGTATGTCTCTGTGCGTCCCAAGTGGGTCGAGACTTCTCAGGACCGCGCATTAGAAAACAAATCACGACAGCGGATCTCTGGCCCCAGCTCTGGGAGCCAGGACTGCATGCTGCCACGGCGCATTTTTTTTGTGGCCAGTCTTCGGCGGCGCGCGGGGGGGGGGGATTGAGAAGGAGAAGGCCCTCTCAGAAGGCGCCGGGACTTCTCTCAGAAGCCCCCGCGCCTAGTGAGAAGTGTTCCCTGTCCTCGGGGAAGGCCCAGAAGACTTCTCAGAAGGCCGGGGGGGGGGACTTCCGAGCCTTCCGAGAAAGATTTCTCCTCCTTCTCCTGCTCCTCCTCCTCTTCCTCCTCTTCCTCCTCCTCCTCCTCCTGCTCCTCCTCCTCCTCTTCCTTTTCCTCCTCCTCCTCCTGCTCCTCCTCCTCCTCTTCCTCCTTCTCCTCTTCCTCCTCCTCCTCCTCTTCCTCCTCCTCATCCTGCTCCTCCTCTTTCTCCTCCTCTCCTCTCCTGCTCCTCCTCCTCCTCCTCCTCCTCCTCCTCCTCCGCCTCCCCCCCGGTGCTCGCCGCCGGAGTCCTCCCCCCACGCGTTGCACGGCGTGGAGCCCTCCACCGAGAGGCGCTCTCTCGGCCTCGGCGCCATTTGGGCCCGGCCCAGGAGCCGCGCGCGGCGGCGGAGTGACCGCTGCGGCCTCCGCGGGCCCAGCCGAGGTGCGGAGGTGATGCTCTCCTGGGAGCAAAAGCGCACAGGCGCAAGGAGTCGCCGATTCCCCGTGAAGACATGGGAAGAGATTGGAAGTGGGGGGGGGGGAGGACGAAAGCCCATGCAGCATCGGAGAATATGTGGGGGGAAGCAAAACACACAGGCACCATGGCAAAAAACAGACAGGCACAATGCAGAAGAATAAGCGCCATAAACAGAAACTTCATCAACACAAGCAAACGCCATAAGCAGAAACGCCATACATTGTTTTATGATGTTCCAACGTACTAGCTTTGGCCACCCGAAAGAAGTTCGAACACCAGGGAAGTACCGAAACTGGATGGTTTTCATGTGTCAGGCTCTGGGAGACACTCGTCCGACACTGTTTCGTCACTGTTTCGACACTCTTTCGACATTTTCCGGGTGCTCGGAATTATTTGTGGGATGTGGTCCTGAAGTACGATGGGACAGCGTAAGCTCAGGGGGGAAGCAAAAACACACAGACACCATGAAAACACACACACAGACACAATGAATAAGAAACGAAAACGCCATAGACGTAAATGTTTGGCGCTCCGCGCGAATTTCTTGGATCCGCGCTGGGCCCCCGCGGCGGCGCCTCCGGCGCCGCCCCTGGCGCGCTCCGCGCGCCAGGGAGTGGGTCCAGCGCAGATCGAAGAAGTCCGCGCGGAGCGCCAAAAGTTTATGTTTATACCGTTTTTTTCCTTTTCTATAATCGTCGACTCCCCATAAAGACACAGGAAAGTATTGGAAGTGGGGGGGAAGACGAAAGCCCATGAAGCATGGGAAAAGATGGGAAATCCGTGGATATATATATATATATATATATATATATATATAATATATATATAACTATAGATACAGAGTTATGTATATATATACATATACATATACATATATATATATATATTATATATATATATATATATATATTAGATATATATATATTCCTATGTATTCGTGTAGTTGTGTGTGTGCGTCCCTGGGCCCCTCTACTTGCGTGTGTCTCTGCCTCTGTGATGCCTCTATGCTGCCTTCTACGGGCAGCGCAGCTTTTACGCAGTGCGCGCCAACCTGCCTTGCTCCCTCCATTTCCTCCTCCCCTCCCTCTGTTCTGCGATCCGATCCCGCTCCCATGGATCCAGGCCTGGGGTGTTTGCCAAGGGGGGATGGAGGGCCACAGGGGCTCCCCTGGGGTGCCGTTTTTTTTCGCCAGCATGGCCCTTCCTCCTCCTCCTCCTCCTCCTCCTCCTTTCCTCCTCCTCCTCCTCCTCCCTCTCCTCCTCTTCCTCTTCTCCTCCCTCCTCCTCCTCCTCCTCTTCCTCCTCCTCCTCCTCTTCCTCCTCCTCCTCCTCCTCCTCCTCCTCCTCCTCCTCTTCCTCCTCCTCCTCCTCCTCCCAGTCGGCGGTGGGGGGTCAGCCACTTTGAGAACCGACGGAGAGAGGATTTTATTGAAACTCTCTCACACGACTACCGCCCAGCACTCGCACGGGCCAGAGAGGGAGCCATGGGGGCATGGCAGATGGATGGCGGTTGCAGTGTTCTCGGTATCTGCATGGATGAAATTGGTATGTTACAATCCGTTGGCAGCGAATAAGCGAATATTACGGACAGACTGGGAGAAATTTGCAGTGCACAGCGACAGTGGGATGTGATTGTGTTGCCAGGGGCGCAGCAGTGGGCAGGGCCAGAGCAGGTGAGGAAGACGAATCATACATATCCTGTGGCACTGCAGATCGGGGCAAAGAAGGGAAACTTGATCACCAAGTCATGCGGTACTGCGCTCCTTGTGTCCAACGATATGATGAACCATAAGGCCTTCCACGCGCAGTACACGCCACCTGCGCAACTGCAAGGAAGAGCTGCAAGGGTTAGGTGGCGTACGAGAGTTTACGACGTCACAAGCTTCGCGACGTGTTTGCCGCCAGAGAGAAGATACGCAGGTAATGGGATGTGTTTGTTTTTGCTATAAAAAAGTGGGTGGCAAAAAGCTTGACGACACGGGTGGCAGATCTACTAGCACAGCGGGAGTGGACGCCAACGGCCACTTGGGGAAGCGCAGGTCAGACAGCAGGGGCCCGGTGGTAAGCAGGCACAGACCGGGCAAACATGCAGCAACATTGGGACCAGTGGCCAAGTAGATGGAGGACGACAACGGCACCGCTTTCAGGGAGTTGTTTGTCCACGGCCTATTGTCCGTAGTCACGATTTTTCGATCGTGGGCCAAACTGCCACTGCGTGAAAAACGAGGGGATGAGGGCGAGCCAGATCGACCACATGGCGAAACCGACGGGGGATGTACCACGTGTGCGGAGGCGCGCTGCATTGAGAGGAGTGACAACAAAAATACATAAGATCAAAGCGAGAGGACGCAGAGACCACATCGCATCCCTTTGGGTGTGGATATTGGACTGGAACATCAATCTCATTTCTTGCGCAAGCACAGACAGCAAGGAGCAGACAAAGAGGTGGGCCGAAACATGCTGATGGAGGGCCTGAGGACAGGACGCCTGAGAGCGGAATTCTTGAGCGTTTTCGACAGCCACCTGCAGGCCGCTCTGCCACAACAGCCAGGAGGGGCATCAGCGGGGTCATCTCGGAGCGCGACCCGGGCGGATTTATCCAAGCTCCTAGGAGATGCATGAGCGAGGTCATCGCGGAGTGCGACCCAGGAGGGGCCTGCCGAGCCCCCGGGAGAAGCATTGGCGCGGCGATCTCGGAGCGCAACTCATCGTGGGGGGGGGGGGGGGGGCGAACGGCAGAGGAAGAGTGGAGAGAGCTCCAGGAGCGCCCCACAGAGAACCAGATGTGGAAGACGCGGGGCGCAGCGGGCAGGAATGCCACGAAAGAAGTTTTCCCAATCGAGAAGGGGCAGGAGGACAAAGGGGTAGCTGCCTTCCAGTTATTGCGACATTCCCCACTGACAGACTGGTTGGAGTTAAGAGTGGGCATGGTCGAGTCAGACACGCAGGCGAGACTGGGGGGGGGAAACAGGAAGGAGCTGGCGCAGATGCAAAATGCGCCACGCAGACGCAGGACACACTTGGAAGTTGCGCGGAAAGTACGCGGACAGGAGAAATATGGAGGGCATGCGAGAACAACAACTTCAGCGAGATGCACGGGCTCAGGGTGGAATATCAGAGGATTGGGGAGGGCCCAAGAAGAGGTGCGATTCCTCAGCGCGAGCATGGTGGAGCTCGGAGGAATGGCTAAGATGACTGGGGATGCACCCCGCGAGAAGGAGCGCGACGGGATGATCGCAGGGAAAATGACGCCCCAAATGGGCATGGATCTGGAAGCCCAATGTGAGAGGGGCAAGAGAGATATGCCGAAGTACTGCCAGAGAGCGGCATAGAGGAGGGCTTCCCCCGTGGAGAGCGCCATTGGAACTGGCGCGGAGGACTCTGAAACGCGGTCAACCTGGAGGGCCCCGAGCAATTGAGCAAGAAGCTCGGGGGCCAGAAAGCACGGGCAGCGGAAAAGCGAGAGGGCGAGGAGGACTTGGAAAAGCGCAGCTCGCACTGCAAGTGCAGGGCGGGCAGGTCGACCTCGAAGAAAATGGGCGGGCTATCTGGGGGGGCGCTGGGCAGGACAGATAGAGATGATGACGGGGAAGCGCTGCGGGCGGCAGAAGAAAAAACGCGCCACCTGGGGGGGCGCGAGAAAGCTGGGCCGGGGTCGTCAGCGCCGGGGCGAGGCGCGGGCATGGGGCGCCAGAACAAGCTGGAGGACATCCTTATTAAGCGTCGCCAGTCTCAAGTTGCACCATTGGATTGGCACAGGTCTATTTCTTTCTCAGCAGAGGCAATCAAACGAGGGGGTTGGAGGAGAAAGAGCCACGCGCGCACATTGCTGAATGGGAGTGGCGCTTCGCGAAGGGGCCCGTCGCAGAGGGGCAAACTCCGGCGCGCCCGCGCTGGGCGCGGGGGGGGGGGGCAATATACCGTGGGAAACGCGGTAGTCTGCGCCGAAGCCGCGCAATGGAGAGCAGGACGGGCAGGGGTGAGCACCATCGCCAGCAACTACGACTGCGCCAATGCCTTCGCGAGCACGAAAGGCAACATCCTGCTGGTAGCAGTCTTCGCCGCGACGAACGTGGAGGACCAGCCGTCCGCCATCGAGGCGCTACGCCGCACGTCAATGGGGGCGGAATGCGCGGGCGACTGGCTGCATGCAAGAACAGCGCGGGGCGCGCATATGGGAAATACCTTGTGCCCGCGGCAGTTCAATGGCACGAGCATCTGACGCCTGGGGGAATGGCGCCGGGGGGAGAGGGGTAGGGGCGAGATCCGTCACCGGCCGGGAGCGCGATCTCTCGCTCAACGCGTTCATGGACGACATCACCAAGATCCGCACAATGGCTTCGTCGGGGCCGCCTGCGCAGGCGATTGGAGTTAGCGAGGCAATCTCGCAGCACCAGCCGGCTCTTGGCAAAAGCGAGGATATCTCGGCTCGCCAGGGAGCGCAGCGCCAGTCGGCTGCCGGCGAAAGCGATGATATCTCGGACCGCCCCAGAGCCCAAGCGAGAAGGATATCGGGGCAGATCAATGCCACCACGCAGCGCCTCGAGAGCAAGCTGGAGAGAGGAGGGCGGACCTTGCACCCAGCCAAAACCAACAAATTGGCATTCCTTCGGGGCCCAGGGCGAAGCGGGACCACGCGACTGCAAGAAAGGGAGAATAATATCAAGGGCGCGCCGATGAGGGAGATGAGGGCACTGGGCGCATGCCTACCAGGAGACCAAGGCAACGCGGGAGAGATCACGAGGCTATGTGAGGCCATGCAGATAGCTTACAGACAATGCGGATGCTTCTGGTCTTCCTATACCGCCGGCACGATAAATAGGAATGTCCCATGCGTTTGAACGACACTTGAAAGCGCTCGACAGTACTATGGCGATTGCATTGAGAAGAATGGCAGGAGACAGGCTGACCTGGACAGAGGATGATGGCGCGACCAGGAGGTGTTCCGGAGATGGAGGATACCGCGCTGCTCACGAGCGCTGAGGACCCGCAGGCTGCGATGGTGCAGGCAATGGGCGACGCATCCAGAGGACTTCGGCA